AACCTTATATAAAATCAAATCAGAAAAGTGCTTGTCATTGACATTCACTTTTTAAAGGAATTGCATAATATTCTTTAGATATGGTATCTTGTATATTGTACGATATTTCCAGAATCTTTAGCATCATTCTAATTCTCGGTACAATCCTTAAATTTGAAATGTCGTCTTCAAATAGTTGAAAAATGTAGGGTTATAACATTCGTTTTTGAATCTTTTTTTTATTACATTATTTTATACCAGTTTTCATAACTTCCATTAAAATGAACTCATATCTGAAATCTATGCATTTATACAATTTTTTTATCAACGCCCGTGGGTGTTGTCGATATATTGGTTGGATCATTTAGTTTTAGATGAAATACTTACAGCAGTGAAGCATACTATTTTAAAGAATATTATTTAACTTAAGAGCTATTACAGCTTGTAATAACACTTTTTCGCACTTAACAAACCTTAGATATAGCTTTTGGCTATTGGCAGTAATTGGAGTATGCATTAAAATAAGTGTTCATCTTTCATGGTGTATTTGGTATTGTTTTATCAAGAAAGTCAATCTGAATGAAATACTCTTGCTGCTTTATAGAGTCGTTTATTTTCCATGGATTTCACTAATCGCGAAGACCTTAAGTGATTTCGCGATTAGTGATATCACCAAACACACATAAAAATTTAGAAAACCTCTTTACAATCCTTTTAATAAGTTAACAGTCGATACAAATGTAAGTTAGAATAAATTATTATATTTGCAAGTACATCTCATCTTCTTAAATGCAAAAAGGTAGCAAATATTCAGCAGTAAGACAATTTCATAAAACTAACCACAATCTAACCCAAAACAAGTACGTCGAGTAAGTAGATAAATCCATCAACAACGTATCTCGAGCATGAAACAATAACCAAGAATAGCAAAAAATAGTTATCTCTTCGAGCGACACAGTAATATAAATAGATAATGTTTTCAAAATTCGTGCAGTTAAGTAAGTATTTTTCTTCAATGGACAACGTAGAGAATGATTAGACTATTATATGTTTAATCCAATACAATCAGTAATAAATCTGTCTAGAATATAATGAAGTTACAATGTCTTATTGACTTGTGTATATTTACATCTGATTTTTGTAATTATGGAATATTGATTTGTGATGTCTTCTATTCCACTAGTAAACAATACTGACAATGAGTAAGCTGATTATTGACTATAGAATATTTTTATAATCATAAGACATATGACTAATCACAACGGCTGAATTGACATCGTGGTGAGTAAAATTTATTTAATGAAATGACACTTTTGTCAGAACTGGCCCCAGAGCCAAAAACATTTGTGATTCTCAGCTTTGTTTTTGCTCAAATTCATAAAGCTACTTGCATGAAGAAAAAGGTAAAATTGAAGATTAATGTAATAATGCCCGAAAACAATTTCCTTAAGGAATAGACTGATTTATTTTGTTTTGTTTGATACAATGAGTTATGCACCTGTACTAGCTGCTTTACATTTAAGTAAAATCTCAGATAATTATGAAAAAGGTTTGTGAAACCGGGGTCAGACGATTAACTGTGTCATTCACTTATTCGCCTTTTTGTTTTGAGAAAACACAATTAAGGGATCTTATCAGGGAACTAAAATTCATTAAAGCAACCCACCACTTTTTTAAGATTAGTTCAATTCCTATCATGCTACGATTCCAATGGAAATCTAATTAAACACCTATATATAAAGCCAGACAATAAATCGTAATAAATGGGAAGTCATCATTATCAAACATGGGGATAAAAAAAGGACAATGATCGTAGCAATAAAAAAGGACGAAAATAGAAAAGTGATAATGTTTTATCTGATGAGGATAAAATATATTTTTATCTGATTTTACTGATTCTTTAAAACAAGTTAAACCATATTAATGATATAGAAATCTATATCCGACTTGTTTAATTAAATATTAGACTCTTTTATTATCTATGTAAAATCAGACAATAAATTCTCTTTGTATATTACCAAACATTTATCAGTCAGGAGTTAAAATGAAAATATCAGTCAAAAGGTCTGGGTCTAATGGATTTAATAGTGATCAGAGAATAGATTATTCAATATAAGTTTGTGATAAGGTTCAGCAAACCATGAGTCAAGGGGTGTACAGATGGTACTATCGATTATATTATCGATTGTCTGAAACGTCACTTTGAAAAAAAAAACAAAGTTAAGCATTAAAAGGCCATTTGAGGGTGGGAGTTAGGAATGTGAATTTAGTCATAATATAGAATATAATATATGTAAATAGACTTCACAAGTACTTAAATGTACGAAAATCGCATAAAATTCCTTTAAAAATACTTCAACCTAGAAATGTTACTCACTATTTCTATATAATATGTCTTTTCCATAGAAATAGAAATATTAAAACAGAACTTAAAAAAACATGTTGTCTTTTCTGTATATCACAGAGTATTATATGACGAGTCTTTAACATTAACATTCAAACGCAGATAATTCTGGACACACATGGATAAAATACCCAAAACACATACATACAAATGCTATCAACTCTTTGTTGCGTCATTTGTAACTATGAAGGAAAGTGTCAGCATTGTTCATTATTAAAAATATGGAAAAAAAGTTATTGTATAAAGTTGCATATCTTAAGGTTACCTCGAGGGAAATCATATTTGTTCTCCTTTTCGTTGTTTCATTTAATGGCTTTTGAATTGAAGAACAGTATGGTAATTAGGTTCAAGTTTAGTGTATTTTAAAATCTACAAATGTGAAATGCATTATGTAATATTCCCAAAAATGCCAATTTAAAGCCTTGAATGCCTCCTACCCACAATAAAACACAAAGAATTCTTTTCACAATCTCTTTAACTTTAAGGCGTAAAGAAATACGCTTGCTAGCTTCTATTTCTTGCACTAAAAAAGTAGGTTGTCCGATGTGTCGGATTAAACTAAAGTTCAATTGGTATTTTCTGTGAAGTTTCTCAGACTAACATTGGCTTGAAGGAATCACCAGGTTTACCAGTTAGCTAGTTTCTTTCTGCACTACTTTCAGTTCTTGTTTATATTAATTGTGGGTTCTCTTAACCCTCTTGTGTCCTCTTAAGACTGAAGCAAGGCTTGTATTTAGATCATAAGAAAATGTCTATTTAAAATTTCCACTTGACAGGAGTTGATTAAGAAAATCGATATGGAAAGCTAAAACCTGAAATTACTTGCACAGGTTTCAGGTTATTACTTTATAAGAAAAAACACCACTCTAGCAATCTAAAATTTTGATTATCGAGAGAAAGGGTTCAATTTAGAAAATTATTGATTCTGTAATATATGCAATGTTTCTCCTGTAAGATAACAGGATAATAGATGGTTCACTGGGTAACAATTCTATACGACAACAGTATTTCAGGTAAATTGATGTATATTCTCATTTTCTATTAGCTATTACAATCACACGACATTCTGCTACGCTATCGATTAATTTTCTTGCATATTACGAATATCACGTTTGCTATTGGTGCAACTAAAGTTTTTGGAGCTATTTTGACATTTAATCAGATTCAGATCTGTGCATGCCATTCAATTATAGCTGTACCATTCTTGTTATTATGTACAAACATAATATATCGTATGGAATACATTGAACAAACACATAGTATAAAAGAGATTTTTTTAACATCTACAAAGTCTTGTCATCACATCTCTCTGTTTCGTCACATAGTCTGATTGCTAGATGGCATTTTTGTACGTAGTGTGATTCATCTGAGTGTATGCCAAAACAGTTAACTATAAAATCTCAAATTATAGTTCCAAGTTAGTACTTCGGTGCGATGTCCAACACAACAGATAGAAAAGGTCTTATGAAAAAGAAAAAAAGAAAAAAAGAAAAGAAAGTAAGAGAGTATTGACCAAGGAGTAATAAGATTACTTTTATTCAATTGTTCATGAGAAAAAGTTAGAAAATCAAATTATAATAAGTAGAAGTGTGACTGGTATTTAATTAGAATATATTAGATAGAGAAAGCAACTTAGATAAATCAATTATACATTTCTCTGTTTACAAAACAGCTCATAAAGAGAAGAGTCATCTTGACACAAATTTGAACGTAACGATGCCCAAATCATAGATACATATTGTATAAATAATACAACAGAAAGTCCGTTTGTGCATGGGAATTGTATTATGTTTTCTACCATTGCCATAATGTGTTTGTATATGGAAAAAAATAAGAAAAGAAATAATAAGAAATTGTGCTTTCATGTAGGTTCTATAATGAAATAAATATAAAAGAATTGAAATTCCAGATATATCCAAGCATTCACCACCAATTTTTAAATATTATAAGTATAATTAAACTGAAAGCTGTAGCTTGTTATTATGCTTTCACTCAGTCAGTCGTTTGACATCCTAAATTATTCTGATACAGTTTATCTATCAAATAATAATTAGAAACGTTAACATTAAGGAGGTGATGAATTTCCAATAAAAATGAGAAATCCCAATCGCAATGTGGGATCAGATGTGTTTCGAATGGGTAATTGCAGGTGGAAGTGAAATTATTAGCATTCCACCCAAGCGTCAATGTGTTAACATATCCAATCTGGAGGTACAAATAAGATATATAGAGTATTTATTACTGTGTAACAGACATATAATTCATCATGTTTACTAACTTAGAGACCCATTCTTGTTGATTTATAATTGTTCTTTGCTAATGTTCAAGAGATTATCGACTTAACTACTGTACATTATTGCCTCAAGAGGCCGTTAGTATGACCATAACGTCTTGAAAACCAAGGAAAAGAATATTGGTGACGTGTCAAAATGGCACAAAACAACTTCTTTAACGATTTGACTGTTTTTAACTTTGTTAAATGATGCATGCATGTGTTTGTCCGTGATCTTATGGAGATAATCCTAATTGCGGACGGACGGATAGACGAACAAGGCCGATGGCAATATTATGTCCACATTATAATGGTGGCGTATGAAATTGGAAGCATGACTGTTATAACCATATAATAACATTATTTAATAATCAAATAGCTTTATTCTTTAAGTGGAAAACTGTAATCATATGGCCCGAAGTATCTTTCAGAGGGTTAAATGACCATACCAGTAGTCTCCGGCATCGAAAAACACACTCAAGTTTAGCTTACCGAAATATTCTAATCTCATCATACGATTAGGCACAATAAAAACTTGGTATGAATTTTATTCTTGGTCATTACTTAGTTAGGTTTGGCAATTATTTTATATGTCCCTCGGTTTTCAAAACAATATTAATCATTTGGGATTTACTATGTCCTGGGCAAGAAAATTTGAAAGGTATCCTTTTTGCTGAAAAGGGGAACTTTGCACACTTTTCATAATAAATACAATATTCGTATATCTTCCTTATGTGATATCTGGAGTACCATAATAGAGTTCTTTGGGGAAAAGAATGTCAGTTACATGTACCAATAATTTATATATCCGATGAAATAGCTATCTATGTAATGAAGAAATATAAATTTTAAAGAAACACCAGATACGATTATTATCAGTATCAGTAACTCTTACACACATTTATATACATGTATTTTTGTAAAATGTTCACACAACACAGTTGGCATCACATATTAGTTGTGAAGTCCGTTGTTTTCGACGTGAATGTTTTCTATGTTTCAACACTATGTACACAGTCATCAATAAAGATGTACATATCCCCACTTCTGTTGATCTGAAACATAAAAAGGATAAGTTCTTGTGTACAAATACATTAACTAACAATCGCTGTTTTAGTTGAACTAATTGAACAAATCAAGGGGCCTGCATATGTTTCGTTTGTCATCGTTTGAGAGTTTAAAATCTTTACTTAGTTAGATATGAAGCAAATTATTAGAACGATTTAGGATCATACTGATTTATTAAATCTCATGAAACCAACCGTACGGCTCATTTGTTTTTTGTACACTATTTAATGTCAAGAGACTAGTGAGTTTTACAACATTGCTTTATGTAGCATTGATAAATGTAAGAAAAGTTTAAAATTTCCAACACTTTCATTTCATTTCAATCTCATCCAAATTCTTTAGAATTGCGAGACTAATACATCAACTTATATGTCAAAACCCAAAGAACCAGAAGTGGCTTTAGGAATGTAAACATCAATTACATTTCCAGTTAAGTACAGTGACCTAAATGCTAATAGAAGTTGTTAAAGGTCCAGATCAATATGGTTTTATCTTGTATAGAATTAGAGTAAATCAATTTTCTTGTACCATTAGTATTATACGTTATGACATGTTTCTTATGTCAAACCTATTTATCTAGCATTGTTCTCTACGTCTATTAGCATGTCATCTATTAATCACACATTATCATATCATCTTACTATTAATATAACCATTTAACGACTTCAGAAGTTAAGAATTTAATAAATGACGTTTGCGATAAATGCCGGAATTCTCTGTTCTCTGGACAGAACATTGCTGTTTCTGATACACCTACAACGGCTAGAAAATCTTTTTTAATTTGGGACTATAGCCATAAAGCAGTTATCAATAAGAATTAAAGTTTGGTGTTAAAAAAATTGAATGTGATAATTCAATACTTCATTTTTTGGAGATGACTTTAGATACTTAAGGTTTGACTATTAATCTGCCAAGTATTTACACACAAAACGAATGTTGCATTATATAAATATGAATCACTCATCTTTCGGTCGATTATGGCAATAAGGGCGACAATGAATTAATCGTATCGTATGATTAAGTATAAAAAATTCACCTGAAAAATGTTTGAAATGTGAACCAGGGCCAAGGCTCGGGATGTGTATTGGTATTAAGAACACCATAGACACCAAATACCGTATACAGTTGTAATAAAACAGCAAAGAGAAATAGGAATGTCGTACAGTAGGTTATTTGTATAGTTTTTTGAATCATTAAACCTTGCCTAATTCTATATAAACTGATAAAAGACGTTGTTGATTTTAAATGATCTGATAGATTTTCATTCGGACCACAAACATCATTATCTTGTTTAACTTGATTGTAATTTATTCCACTACGCTTCGGGGAATCTACTACTATTTCAGTATCCGCCATGTAGCCATTTTCTTCCGGAAACTGGTCAATATTTGCTTCGGGACACATGGTCTCGTTATCACAATGTAAACTATTTTCTCCGGAGCTATAATTTACACAGCTTTGTTCCATTAAATCGAGACTGGGAACATGTACTGTGGGAGATAATTGCTGTGTATCACTTGTAACTATGTGGTTTCGTGAAATGTTAAGAATGTCCAGACCGCCCGAGGTATCAGAAACACCATATAATCCAGACTCTTCAGAATATTTTCCATTGGAATCAAATACATCACTTCTCGTTCCAGATTGTGACGTCACAAGCTTGACATTTTGATGAGTCTTTTTATGACGACGCTTCCGGACTCGAGTCTGAGTCCTTACTGAACAATCGTCGGACGAGGTCGTCTCCGCTTCCGAGGCTATTGTTATTGTCATTTGATATTTATCAGTTATTTTTAGCCGAGGTCGAGCCAAGCGTAATGATGTTGATGATCTGCTCACACTTATGGGCGGTTGTGAATTTTTTCTATCGTTATTAAAAAGTTCAAATTGCTTTCTCACTCTTTTAGTCTCTGATGCATACTGAGACAGACGAAATCCATTACAAATGAAACTAATGCATAAATAAAGAGCGAACACAATAAAGAAGCCGTTATCTAAGATTAGTAAAAATTTTGTTTCATTTTCGTAATAAACGATAACTTCAATAAGTACTATAGAGAAAAGGTATATGAGTGTCCAGGCTAAAAGTGGCGTTGAATTACGAAGTTTACTATTTCCTACATCAAGACGAGTCATTTGTAATAACATGATTTGAAAGAGGCCGTAAGATGCACAAAGTAGAGGGTAAATCAACTGTGAAAGTACTCCGATAACCACTGGAGACAGAATTTGATTATATCCATAAGGATCAACAACTAAGTAGAAAAGTCTTATTAATCCACCAACACTTAATAGAATAATTATATTTAATACAGCTCTGAGTCGATATACTCTTTGTTTATAACGAATACATAAAAGTACTGGAACTAGAGAAACTAGCAGAAAAAGAGAGGAAAATCCATAAATGTATATCGGCCATCCACTTCTCCATAAATTTTTTGCTATTTGCCAGTCGGGTAAAGGTAATAGAGAATTTATTGTACTAGAAGAATTCAAGTTTTTATGGATATCATTGTTCATAGATGGAAGCGATCGAAACACATTAGCTTCATTTCCTAAAATCAACATAAATTTCGATTGAATTCTAAATCCTGCTGTTTTCTTTTAAACGAGAAACCCCAAGATCTATTTGCTTTCTTGATTTTCCTTTAACGTCCGTGAAGAAATTTTATGTGTTTTCGTTGATTACTTTTATTTCACGTCATTATTCCTAGAGATTAAAATTTCCTTCAAATTCTCTCATGAAACAGACTTTAACAGTCAAAATTTGTCTCATTCGAAGTATTAGTAGTTTTATCGTCATAAATCCAAATTAACTTGATTTTTTACTTCTTTTTGTATCCTAAATTTCCTGCACATATATTCTAACACTGAGTTTCACGAACACAGACACACGAAGAACCTGTTCCGTAGACTTTATCAGAGAAAATATATCACACCATTCAACTAACTGAACTAAGAAAAGAGGAATGTAAATGGATTAACACTTCAACAATCACAGCATAATAATTCCTCCATTCTGTCAATGGAGTTCATGCAAGTGTATGTCCGTGATTTAAAGTTGTGTTGTTGGTCATCTACTCGTTTGCACAATTTGTACACGATTGTATCAACAATATATATAATATTGGTTTAGTGTCAATCGATTACTCGTCTCAATTAACTCAGAAATATACCTGAAATGATAAAATCATAATAATGAAAACTATGCATCATATTTATTTACTGTCAAACGATTTCATTCATCGATTTATTTTCTCTTGTTCTTATGTTCAATCATGAGTTTTCTTTTCTCACTGGGTCATAAAATTATTGTATCCAAATATATTTCAGTATCAATTATTAAGATTACGGGTCTTCTTCAGTGACATCGCTCTACCGAGACGCGTGGCTAAAGGATAAATCACAAGCAAAACGTACTAGAGGATACCAGTTAATCATTTGTGCCAAAACATGTATGGCTCATCATTTCAAACAGCAGGCTCAAGACAAAGAATTTCGCAACACTGAAGAAATTAAAAATATACATTTTTTCAAAGGAAATGAATAGAGTTTTATGTCCTACATATATCTATTCAATATTAGATATAAAATCATTCTGTTTGACTCGTAATACATCCTATTCGCACAATAGCGACCTGAGTGTCATCACCGGCGGAATCATGCACATGTCTAACAAGTTTTGTTGTTGCAATAATCAAAATCTAGGCTAGATTGTACCCAACAAAATCAAAGATAACGGCAAGAGTCGTTTGGAGACGCAAATATTTTAAATCTTATTCCTCCACTGCCCGTCGTGGCTTTTAACAGCAGATAAATACCAATTCTTTTTAAAGATTTTCATTTGAATACATCTTGTCAGGAAACTGGTGAATGGATTTTCTTGGTAACGAAAACTTCTGCAAACCTTTCACATCAACAAATTGAATTTGATTTTTTTTACAATCTCATTGATTCTTTAATAGCAGGTTTTCATCTCATCTAAATTAGAGTGAATTGAATTTAAACAACTTTGCTCCGATGACTGGGCTGGAAAACCAGAACTCAACATAAAAGTAAATGGTTTTGAAAGTAGTTAACAACTAAAATTGAACCAATCAATGGTTTTAATTCATTTATGAAAGTGTACACCTAAATAAATCTATACCATCAGAACTATAGACAATCTTTAAATATAATACGTAATTACTATCGAGTTGAAATCTCTAATGAAATGTCAATAGAAATATAACATGAATAAACCATTATGTAAAATCCCGAACATGGAAAACATTAGTAAATAAAATGTTCATGTCTGTTAAGAGTATTAAATATAAAGGTATTAGCACTAATGGCGAAAACGATTTCTAATTTGAGAGATTTTTTTTTATTGTGGTTGATGGACCAGATAGATAAAGCCAGTGCAGTGTCGTTTTTATGAGGCAAAATTCCTGTCGCCTTTGAAGCCATATATGTCTTGATTTACAAGGCTATAGATCTCACATGGTTACCACCTTTACCGTAGACATCAAACAAGCGATATATTTATCAATTTCGATTTTGTCGAATTCGGCATTTACCTCATTTGCCTTGATGTAGTTACGGCCCTACAGTATCATCAGGAATTCCGGAAGGTCAACCAGAAAATGGTATCTGCATTGAAGAATCGGTTATCATCTTGTTTTTATAGATATTTCACCGTGGTGGTACAACAGATTTCTATATTATGAACCCAATAATAACATTGATTTATCTTACATATAAGATTTGTGATAAATTTTAGATGAAACTGGATTATGGCGAATATCGGACAACTTGTTCACAGATTATCAATGCGGGGCTTCACATAAAAAGGTGGAAGATGTACTGTCTCGTGATAACCAATTGGTTTTCATGGCGGGTGTTTATGGTGATTCACATTGTTGAACTTAGCCCCAAAATGTATCAGGCACACTCTGATATTCTTGCAGTGTTTGGATTTTGGATTTGTATCATTTTTTGTAATGTAAAGACAATTTTCATTAAAAGCTAAATATGTCAAGACTTGCATATAACATGCTTACAATTTAATAAAAAGGTAGTAACTGTGGAAATGAGGTTTTTTAAATGATAGAGGTAATAATTGTTTAAAATAATACTGTTGATATGCCTGTTGATACTACAAACATTTCTAGGAGCTACCTCGTTATACATATTGTACAAACTTTATTCAACACAAAGTTTCCTCAACACAAAATGGAAACCGTAATAACAACCGTTTTTGTGTAGGATATCGCGTAATGTTTTAAATTGTTTTCTATCTCTTATCTAAAGTGCTTCCATAAATATTTGTTGTTATTACAAAATGAAATCTGTAGGCCTATCAATACAGAAATCTCCCCTGAGATTCCAATAAATTTTGTACTTAATCTTCGACATTTTATAATTCTTCATATCTTTCGTTTGTCTTTTTTCTTCATATAAAGTATTTATAACATTTGTGACAGATTATGTCGTTCTCTCTTTTCAACTTTTCAATTCAAGAAAATATTTGTAAAGGCAAATATAAAAATGATCTTGTTTATACGCATTCATATATTCAGTGGTGATATAGTTTACTGCACGTACAAACCGATTCGGTGTAAATCAGATAAGATATCAGTTTTAAAAAAAATAGTCGACTTTAAAAGCCACCCATGTAATTTACTGTATGAAATACGTATACGAATGTAAATACAAAATGTATATATCAGAGTAGGCCCACACAAAAAATATTGTCTTACCTTTATGAGAATAAACTAAGAGATGTTGGGTTCTGTCAATACTAGAATTATGTATAATAATCAAGAAGGGAGTGTAATATCGACCGTATATAACTTTGTTAACTACTTCACGTGCTATCCAACTTAGCGTGATCAAGAATATTATTACAGAAATAAAATAAAGACTGAAGTCAATTCGACACGAAATACAATAGGAAAACACAATTGTCTGTTAAAAGAATTTAACGTAAGTTTTAATAATTAAAACAAGCGTGATATTTACTTCAGCAGTTTACCTATCATTTATTCATATCATTCTAATAGGTTTCCTTTTTCACTTCACCACTCACTCCAACTTTCCATTTAATGTATATTGCGTGTTGTAAAAGGATCAAATAACGTTTGAAGTTTACTTAATGTAAACAATGGAGGTGCGAAGACCGACAAAACATTTAAAGAGTACAAACTATACAGATCTGAATGAGGTGTTGTTCTGATGTTCGAGATATCTATACGACCAGACGCATTCATTCCCAACTTTTACCCTTTGTTTACCCTTTTGGTCTTCTGTTTCCACCTAAAGGTACGCATTAGACCGAATCGGTGTGTTGTACGGTATTAAAGAAAACATACAAGATTTGAATCGTGTTCTAAACAGTACTGCTTATATTCGCTTTTTTTATTTTCCACATCATACCTCCTATTTACAGCTATAAATATCATTTCTGAAAAAGTAAAGGTCGATCAAGCACAATCATTACATCTGAAGTTTGACTTAAATCATGCCAAGAGTTAATAATATTTGACATTTAGCAATTTTTCTAAAACACATTGAGTGTCCTCCACACTTCTATACATGATGATAGATATTTAACTAATAGTCAATAACTATAAAATGTGTTACTTCCTTCTCCAGACACATTAGTAGTTATTTATATTATTTTTTCACAATTTATGCTGAACTTAATCATCTCTCAACTTTCGTATTGTTCCAGCCGGTTTCACCCTGTTGCTGTCAGTGATGCGTCTAGTTGCTCAGATGTAACATTAAACCGAGGTTATAGGAAGTGTACAGTAAAGAGGCCTTGACAGTTGTCAGTCTTTATTTGCCAATTTGGTGTACTAGCGTAAAACATTTCATTTTGTGAACTTTGAACGTTGGGCAGGAATGAGGAACTTATAAAAACATGTAACAAATAATGCGGTTGTGAACAGTATTATAAATAGTATTGTACTGATGAAGAAGTTAATGTATTTGTTATTTTTATCAGTCAATATTAGGATTGATGATAATTATCTCTATAATGACAATCAACCCTATAATTACAATCATTCCGTATTCTTGTTATCTTGATTATAAGATGAAACCAGATTTCGCACAGACCGTTGAGTCTGATAGACGATAGATAGAAAATGATAGACTGCGTTTTAATCAGTGTGTGTCAGACAGTTATATACCTTGACTACATTAATATGATTTTTGATGTAACGTTAAGCACAGAAAACAACACAAAAATGCGTTTCATTTGAGCAATCTGTTTCGTAACCAGGCCCGAAGCTAGACTTGATTGTTCGGAGGTGCAAGCCTTCGTTAAACTTTAACAACCTTTATCGTAGACATCAAATAAACGATATTTTTAGTGGGTATATTCATATTTTTATACGCCCACACGTATATTGCAGTTACCCCTGTCCGTCCGTCGGTCGGTCCGTCCGTTCACAAGTACCTCGTCTACAGGCTACAATTCTCCATGGATTCTTTTGATCTTTTGTATGTGTGTCAATATCATTATGAAAATGTGCACTATTGAATTTGTTGATGATCCGATGATATTCTTGAGAGATATCGCATAAAACTCTGAGTTCACGTTCGTTTTTCTTTTTCACTTTTTTGCCTCGTGCTCACCCTACAGACTACAATGTACTACTATGTATTGATTCTATTGATCTTTTGTATGTGTTTCAATATGAAGATGCACTATTGAATTTAGTGATGATCCAATGATTTTCTTCAGAGATATCGCATAAAACTCTGATATCGCGTTCGTTTTTCACTTATTTTGCTCGTGTCCACTCTACAGGCTACAATTCTCCAAGGATTCTTTTGATTTTTTGTATGTGTGTCAATATCATTATGAAGATGTACACTACTGAATTTGGTGATGATCCGATGATTTTCTGGAGAGATATCGCATACAATTCTGATATCACGTTCGTTTTTTTTTCTCACTTTTTTACCTCGTGCTCACTCTACAGCCTACAATTCTCCATGGAATCTTTTGGTCTTATGTATGTGTGTCAATATCATTATGAAGATGTGCACTATTGAATTTGGTGAGGATCCGATGATTTTCCTGAGAGATATCGCATAAAATTCTGATATCGCGTTTTTTCACTTTTTTGGCTCGTGCTCACTCTACAGACTACAATATAGAGTTTGTTTTACAGTTCACATTTAGCTCTTTATCAAGCTGCTGGTGGGTGTATTCGCTCGCG